AAAAAATACTGTGGAAGTCAATGGGGACCAACAACTGTTTGCTTGAGTATTCACCTTATTGGGTGAAGAAATGATGACTGAATTTTCATTTTTGGGTAAACAATCAATTTAATGCATCCTTGCTGAATAAAAGAATTAAATTATTTTAAAAACATCTTACTGACCCCAAACTTTTGGATGGTAGTGTATATTTTTTAAAAAGAAAGTTATTAACATAAATACAAGAATGTGCATTACATCTTTTATTGTTAAATAAAAGTGTGTATACAATTCTTGTCTTTTAAAAAGTATTTTTTTGAGTTCTTAGAATTCATCAGTTAAGTTAAGAGGAACTCACTATCAAGGCAAAATCTCTGTATATTATTTTCCAGATTTTTATAGTCTCAGTTACAATGTTTTGAACTGTAAACAACATAATGGTGTGCAATATGGTGTCATAGATGATGGTATTATGTAAATGTTGGAATTACTGATGTTTTACAGCTAGTAGAGTTTAAATTTCTGCTCATTCTGTTATCATTTTTTCAGGTGCTGATAACATCTTTAACCTGCCTTTTACCATATCAGCAGCGGTAGTAAAAGTTGAGGAAAATACTGGCTTTGGAAAGCAAGTGTTATGTGCAGTCCTTTTATCCAATCAGATACTGTAGTTTAATTATCTTTTCAAAGAAACACAAGTGCTTTATGGATAGTAAATCATTCTGGAGGTTTAGTCAGAAATCAGTTTCAGTACAGAGCTGTACAATCAGATTACTCATTTACTCAAACAGCATTGTATCCATGATGTTAATGTTGATGTTATCAACATTAGAAAATGTCAACTCAAGCCAGTGACACAAGCAATGTGCCTTTTAATTACAGTATATGAAATGCCCATGTGACAGTTCAATCACACCGAGTGTTACATACAGTGCATAACTTAGGCCAATCTTTACATTTACATTTGGTCATTGAGCAGACACTTTTATCCAAAGCGACTTACAAATGAGGACAATGGAAGCAATCAAAATCAAAAAAAGAGCAATGATATACAAGTGCTATGACAAGTCTCAGTTAGCTTGACGCAGTACACATAGCAAGGTTTTTTTTTAATTATAAAATAAATAAAAACAAAACAGATAGAATAGAAAAAGAATAGAGCAAGCTAGTGTTAGAGGCCTTTTTTGCTTTTGTTAATTGTATAATAAATAAAAAAGAAAACAAATAGATAGAATACAAAAAGATTAGGAGAAGCTAGTGTTAGTTAAAAAAAAAGAAAAGAAAAAAGAAAAGTCAGTTAATGTCAGACTGTACGACAGTCAAGACGCGTTAAAAACGGGTGCGCGCAAGAAAACTTATCAGCGGAGTTTTACCTAATCAGCCCATACACGTTCAGTGACTGCGAGCTGCATTGCACGCGGGGATGTAATGTTGGCTATCATTAAAAGTATATGAAGGGTGGCAATACCGGCTTTATTTATGCAGAATAGTGCAAGCAGCACTACACACCCACATGAAAACAGCAGCGCAACCGGTGTTTATCATAGCAAAGGCAACATATCAGATGAATTCCGTGAGCGGAGGACGGGAGTGCCGGAGTTTATTCGGTTAGAAGAAATCTCTAGCATTAATTCTGATCATGGCTTGTCTTGAAAAACGAAGACAATTTGACGTTCGTCGTAGGAGATGTCACACTGCAGGACTGCGCCAAATCTTCTGACACTGCCAGAAGTTCGTCGGAGGTAAAATTTGATCGCAACGGCCATTAATCGGCTGTCGGTGAACATGTCAAACTAACGATCAAAGACTACAGATTTTAGCCTAGGATTATAGGAATCTTTTAGGATTTTCAAAATTTGTCTCAGACGACCAAATTGTGGCCAGAATCGCACAGTGTGAGCCAGGCTTAAAAGGGACAAGTTTTTTTTTTTTTAAGAATAGAATTAGGATAGAGAGTGCTAGAGTTAGAGGGTCAAATAAAGATGGAAGAGATGTGTTTTAGCTGATTCTTGAAGATGGCTAAGGACTCAGCTGCTCGGATTGAGTTGGACAGGTCATTCCACCAGGAGGGAACATTTAATGTAAAAGTCTGTGAAAGTGATTTTGTGCTTCTTTGATATGGCACAATAAAGCGCCGTTCACTTGCAGAACGCAAGCTTCTAGAGGGCACATAAGTCTGAAGTATTGAATTTAGGTAAAGGGGTGCAGAGCCAGTGGTGGTTTTGTAGGCAAACAGTAATGCCTATAATTCTATGCGAACAGCTATTGGTAGCCAGTGCAAACTGATAAACAGAGGTGTGACGTGCATTATTTTTGGCTCATTAAAAATTAATCTTGCTGCCATGTTCTGGATCTTTAGTGAACATTTACTGAATAATAGTGAAAGATAGTGAAAAATAGTCACCATGATGTTTCACCTTAAATAATATTTTGAAAAAATAAAAAAATGTTCCAATCTGTTTTCTTTTGGTTGATTAAATTATGCACATTATATAAATTTCAGTGTTTATTCACAAATTGTTAGTGTTTATTAGCCTATAGCGAGCATTTTTTTCCATTGCAATGTTCCATTTTCTCCATTATATATATATATATTAGGGGTGCAACGGTTCAACTTACTCACGGTTCGGTTTATATCACGGTTTCGGTACGGTTCAGTATGTGCTATGTTTAGGAAAAAACTATATTGTCAAATAAAAATAATGAAGATAACAAATAATCTAACTACAAGCAACAGCACAAATAAATACAATAGAGCAAAGATACAAATAAAATAAACAGGGCTTTTCATTTTTTTTAGGTAGGTCTAACATTAGTTTTTAGGTACAGAAATTGAATAAAGTAATCAAATGTAAAATAACATTGCATATTTGACTGTATAAATTAAAGATTAATCCTTATTAAAGTTACAAAAGTTATTCCATCAAGAGCAGTGAGTGATTTCCGTGTTGTTGCTGTTTGATTTACATTAAGAAAGTGCTGTCACTTTAAGAGAACGCACTGATCCAGTGCACTGATACAGTACGTTCAGCCGATTATGTCTGCTAGGATACTCACCAAGACGGGCATTTTGACATAATTTTGAGTGAATTTGTCCATTCAAGCACAATAATTAACAGAGAGCTTAATATTTGCGTGCGTTCTGAGACGCGGGTTCATATGAAGGTAGAATGACGTCAACAAGATTTGCATACGCAGGGTAAGAGTTGTGGAAGTGTACATAAGACTGTAAGCGTAAATTAAATTTGCATGCGCAAGAGAAGCTTTGTAAAGGTGTAAATCGTGTTTCAAGCGCAAGAAAAAATTATTTGCAGCATTTTACTGTTATTCATAAGTGTAATTCGTGTATTGTGAAACTGCAGCTTCATGCTAACGCAAAATAAATATGATCTGCATGCTTCTGACTTCCATTTTTCCGCGCGATACTAGACCTTCTTTAAGTATCATCAAAATTACAGTATAATATTACAGTAAACTAATATATCATATAGCCTGTTAAGGAAGAGAAGGAAACGACACAGCTAGAAATTCAGTATGAACACATAGCCTAATGGTACACAACTTATAAAATATCATGTTTTAATTAAGTTATTATTATTTAATGTATTTTTCTACTGTATGTGTACGTTAAAAGAACCATTCCGGCAGCAAGAACGATCCTGAACTAAATGAAGATTAATGTCTTGGCGTGTGATGTGTTTATTGGACCAATCAGATAAGAGTAATATTTAAACTGGCCAGGCTTAAATGAGTTTAGTTTAAACACATATAGCATAAAGCACTCGCATTGATTAAAGAGTGACTGGTTTGTCCACGTATTGTTTTTTTCTCTCTCTCATCGCTCTTGTTGTAATGTATTGGGAAGCCAGAATTTGTATCCATCAGCAGAAACATGCATTAGCCAAACTCTAACAAACCATATTACAGATGCATTGTCAGATTTAAGTTGAACCGCGGTCCTAGTGTATGCCGAACCGTGTGTGGAGAACGGTACGGTTCGATTTTTTACCGAGAACCATTGCACCCCTAATATATATGTACTTATAAAATGTGTGATGTTAAAATGCACTTCATATGGTAACATCTACTGTAGATTATATGCATAATGTTTTAAATTTTTTTGTCAATATTTTTTATACAACAATATTAAAATGAGTCAACTTGAATTCATTATTCTACACAAATAAAAGTAAATTTTAGGTTTAGGTGAGGTAGAAATAACTCATTTGATATAAAAATAACATTTACATTTTTCCAGGGAATTTCACTGCCAGATTTTGCCAGTGTTGATGATGAAACTTTAATATGGGAGTTAGGCGAGAGGGGCTTTATTTAGATTAAACATTACAGTTTACTTTGTTCCACAAGAACTAATAAATATTCAAATTAGAAAACAAGCGAGAAGGAAAGCGAGGCCCTCTTGTGAAGAATGAACAGTTTGTGAAACATTTCCTAATTGTTAATGAAGGGCTCAGGGCAGGGTGCCAATGTTGGAGGGCCAATGGCGAGGGGGTACAGCCGGAGCAGCCGATGGGCGGGCTGTTGCTCTGGGGTGACAAGTGGGGACCCCCTTTTTTAACTACCTAGGTGTCACTGTGTTAGAGTAGGGTGTACAGGACTGCAGAAAACACGAAGGGCTCTAATGACGGTCTGAGTGCAGCTGGCTGCGTGAGGTCTCGTGTCTTTGAACTCCCTCCCTCTCTCAGCCATCCTCACCAGCTTTGATCGTGCTCTGGGGAACAGAACTGTTTTTTAACTGGGTTTTAGGATGGATGCATCAGATAGCAACCCGGAGAACACGACCGAGAACAATAATGTGGAGAAGAGTGAGGTTGGAGAGGAGGAGAAGATGGAGTCTGACTCCAAGCAGGATGTGGACCCAGATTCAGACCTGTCTGTGATCAAGATTCCTCCTCCGCCAGAGCTGGAGATCAGGCCTAATGGAATAAGTGATGATGGCAAGCCGGAAGTATGCAGGACTGTACCTTCTCCTCTGACCCGCAGTATTTTTCCTGTTGCAGTCTCACCTGCTGCTGAGCGCATTCGATTCATTCTGGGAGAGGACGATGACAGTCCAGCACCCCCTCAGCTCTTCACAGAGCTGGACGAGCTACTGTCTGTTGATGGCCAGGAGATGGAGTGGAAGGAAACTGCCAGGTAAGAGCGTCATGGCTTGGTTGGAACTTTAAATGAGGTTCAAAAACAGACCAGAAATATAAGAGCCTGTATTATTAGCAGGAACTAGGTTTTGAAAAAAAGCTTGATAACTTGTGTCTAATAGTATTATTTTATCTCTGGTTTTGCCCAAATTGTGTTTTAATTTGTCAGTGTCGTTCTTTTCTACTTTATATTCATCAAAGAAAAAAATTGCAAAAAAAAGAGAAAATGTATCACAGCAAATCAGCATATTAGAATGATTTCAGAAGGATCATGTGACACTGAAGACTGGAGTAATGACTGCTAAAAAAATCAGCTTTACCATCACAGGAATAAATTACATGTTAAAAGACATTAAAATAAAAAGCAGTTATATTAAAGTTAGTTATATTATTTAATTCTCCAAATCGTTTTGTTTTTAAAAAAGATCGTTTTAATGACTCTTTCAGACTTGTTACACAGGTACCATACAATTCATCAAAAGAAGATTCAAGTGTACTGGCTCATTGCCAGTGACTGCTTGGTGCCAGTATGCGAAGACATTTTAAACACTTGACAGTGTCTAAAGGGATGAATCCAACCCGATTAATCTTTAGGGAAAGGTGTGAAGAAAGTTGAAAATGCACATATGTTTCCAGTTGACTTGTTTATCCATTAAAGGCACATCCGATCATTGAACAGTAACTGTTGCTTTAAATTCCTGTGATCGTGAGTTAATTTGAGCAGACAGCTTGGTCTCTGATAAAAGACGAGTCTTGCATGCAGCACACATCAATTCTGGAGCTGTGCTGCTCTTGAAAGGATTTGATCATTCAATGAGAGGGGCAGTTTCATGTAAAGTTGAGTGGCACTCCAGGTGGTCCCCAATCAGCGGCCATTATCACATGCCACAGTGGGCATTTAACAGATTAAATAAGTACAAGGATGATTACTGCTGATCTTTTCATTTCCAATCAAGATTTTATTTGAGAGATTGTTTTAGAGATAAGATTACCTGTTGTTTGTGTATTTTAGGATTAAGGATTACATATTAAAGCCTTTCAAGCAGGGTCATCAGTTTTAAAGGAACACTCCACTATTTTTGAAAATAGGCTCATTTTCCAACTCCCCTAGAGTTAAACAGATGAGTTTTACCGTTTTCGAATCCATTCAGCCGATCTCCGGGTCTGGCGGTAGCACTTTTAGCTGCAGCTTAGCATAGACAATTGAATCTGATTAGACTGTTAGATGACCAAAGAGTTTCGATATTTTTCTAATTTAAAACTTGACTCTTCTGTAGTTACATACCGACGGAAAATGAAAAGTTGCGATTTTCTAGGCCGATATGGCTAAGAACTATACTCTCATTCCGGTGTAATAATCAAGGAACTTTGCTGC